AAAAAAAAAAAAAAAAAAAAAGGCTGAAGAGGAGGTATGGCTTAGTGAAATAAACTAAGGAATAATACCTATACCCTGAATTCAGGGCCTGGAATTAGCACACACATACACCTATGAGAAGCACTCCATATGACTGCTCTGCCAATGTCAGCGTGAACAGCAGCCTCCACTAGTCAGCCCTCCCTCTAGCCATGAGTTTGCCTCTCCTCAGGGGCCTAGAGGCTGGCAGGCATACTCACTGGCAAGGCAGTCATCAATGTCCTCTTCACAGTCCATCCCACTGAAGCCTGGTGGACACTCACACATGTAGCTGCCCTGGGTGTTGTGGCAGAGGCCTTGATTCATGCAAGGCTTGGACACACACTCGTCAATGTCAATGGTACACCGCTGACCTAGGAAGAAGAAAGCTGGTTCTCACAGACGTCCAGGTATGCCGGGGCTGAGGTGAGGTGGGTATAGCTACTCCTAGGGCAGCTGGCTGGTCTGCTTCAGGAGTCCAAAGGAAGGCATCTATATGGCCTGGGGAGTTTTGCAAGGGGCTAGATAGAAAGCACGTCAGGGTTTTAGAATCTGGGTTTTGGAGTCTTCCAGCCACTAGAGGGCACCACAGACACATACAGCAGGAAGGCCTTCTGAGCCTTTCTAGTCAACAGCACCCAGGTAGAAATTTCTTACAGGCAGGACAGGCCTTGGAAGCTCAAGTCCTTCCACGTGCGGCAGTGCAAAATGTGTGTTTATCCTTCTCCCCATGTTCTTACCTCGCCACCCAGGAGCACACAAGCAGGTATAACTCTCAAAATTTGATGCCTCTTTACAAATGGCAGCATTCTCACAAGGGTTTGGGGAACAGGGAGCCAACACAGTCTGACAGTTCTTGCCTGAAAAGCAAATAACATCATTTGTGATTGGGAACCAGTCAAAGAAAGGACAATTTCCCCAGAGTGTAATCCCAGGAAGTACTCTGACTCCAAGTGGAATAAAGAGTGACTGGTTTTAGACTCTAGAGACATTTCATCTTTTCAATCTTGGTCTGACATTGCTAACTTTTCATCTTTAGCAGGTTATTTCTCTTCTCTGGGCTTTCCTCATGAGCAAAAAGTAGCCAGGTATGGTGGTGCACATATGTACTCTCATACTAGGGAGGTGGCTCAGGAATTTGAGGCCCAATATATAACAAGAGCTTGAGGGAAACAAGCAAGGGAGGAAGGAAGGCAGTGAGGAAGGAAGGGGGAAGAGAGAGAAAAAAATGAACATTAGAATACCATGTACTCAGAGATGATTTTTGAGAACTAAATGAGAAAATGTTCACATCCTATGCTACTAAGCATAGGGCCTGGTGCAGAGCATGAGGCCTCGGCTACTGCTGGTCTGTTCCAACTTCCACTGTGATGATCACAACTGGCTCAGGGATTTTAACATCTGCATAGATCTGATGAGATTGCCTATATCTCCACAGGGTACAGGAGCCCAGCCCCGTAGATGGCCATTCCCCCCAAAAGGCAGTAACTTCCTGCATCTCAGGGACCTGCAAGGGTGAGGCAACTGGTGACTGAAAGCTCCAGGGCTCTGTCTCCTCATAGCAGTGTCTGCAGATAGACTGATGCCTGCCTACCAGTACAGCAAACAAATTTCAGAAGAATGTTTATATTAAAATGATCATCAGGTTGTTTTTAAACTCAAGTCATGACTAACACAGCTTCAAAATTCATACTAAGATTTTTCATTCAGAAAGGAAAAAAAAGCACAAATTTTCACCAAATACATCTAAGAGGCTGGGGCTGACCAGGGGAAGTGCTGCATGGTTCCTTTGTGCTGGACACTGGGACAAAGCACAGAGTGCAGTAGGGTGCACAGCACTTACCTAGCAAGCTTAAAGTCCTAGGTTTAATCCCCAGCACCCAAAAAACAAACCCAATAAACGGTAGTTTTATTACCAAAACTAGAATCAGCTAGGCCATCCAAATGACAAGCCAAACCATCAGCTATTTACCAACTTTGAGCCAAACAGATACTACTAATAAAAAAATTTGTTTGGGTGCCATAGCTCACACCTATAACCCAATTTTGGAGGCTGAGACCTAGATTGCAGTTCAAAGCCAGCCCAGTCAGGAAAGTCTGTGAGACTCTTAGCTCTGATCAACCAGCAATACAGTTCCAAAGTGGAGCCGTGGCTCCAAAAGTACAGTACTAGCCTTGAGCTCAAAAGCTAAGGGACAGTGTCCAGGCCCTGAGTTCAAGCCCCGGTACTGGCACACACACACACAAACTCAATCACTAAACCTAGGTCTGAAGGGTAGCAGATCACTTGCCTAGCCTGCTAAGATTCCATTCCCAGCACTGAAAACCAAATGGAACACTGAAGTACAAGGGAAGCGTGTGTGTCTCCTGCTGTGATGCTTCTGAAAGACTGGAGTGGTCCTCACAGCAGGGCAGTTTGCCCTGCACACCACCCCACACAATGGAGTCTCTGACATGCAAGTGTTAACTCCCCCGGGGTTCTGCAACACCGGCAGCACCCACCTGTGTAGGGCAGCACACAGTGGCAAGTGTAGCCACTGATGTCATCAAAGCAGGTTCCTTGGTTGAGACAGGGGTTGGAGGCACACTCATCAATATTCACCTGGCAGTTGTAGCCTACAGGCAGAAAGGGGGAAAGCCAGACACAGTGAAACCTTCTAGAATCACTTCATGACCTCAATTGCTGACACTTCTCTACCTTTCCTGTGTGTGTATGTGTGTGTGTGCGCGTACACATACACACACACACATATGCACACACTAGCACTGGAGCTTGATCTTAGGGCCTCCTATTCGCCCCTAGCTTCCTCACTCAAGGTTGGTGCTCTATCACTTGAGCTATACCTCTACTGCCTACTTTTTGCTAGTTAACTGGAGCTAAAGAGGCTCTCGGATTTTTCTGCCTAGGCTGGCTTTGATCCAGATTCTCAGATCTCAGCCCTCTGAGTAGCTAGAATTATAAGTGTGAGCCACCAGCACCCCGCCCTATTTCTCTTGGTGGTAAAATGACATGCTATAGAAGCTGTACTCATTTCTTCAGGATGCTGGAACACCTCATTCCTTTTGGTCTCAAGATCCTGATGTACAGTCAGTCAGTAAATAGTCCATTAGTCAAAAAGATGAAAGGAAGAACAGCCTGTTCTAATAGCCTGAAAGCCTGATCATCCAATTGCAAATAATTTCTCAATCAGGGACCAAGAAGATCAGAAGGTTGGAAAGCTCATTGCTAGGCCTACTGTTAGGCCCTTTTAATAGGAAGTTTTCAGTCAGAAGAAGGGACAATGTTTTTAATACGTTATAAAAGCTTCTGATCTTTGCCCCTCTCTCACTTGTCTTCTCACGGTGCTGTTCCTGATATCATAAAGCTGTTCCCTCATGATTCAAGGTACCCCATTTTACTCCCACTAAAAAAATGGAGGGGGAGTAATAAAGCACTAGTAGAAATAAGATTCTATCCAAATATTACACACCTCTGCATCTTAGATGAAGCCCACCACAGCACCTCAAAGCAGAGACCACTGATGGACAGTGGTGGCTCACACCTGTAATCTTAGCTACTCAGGAGGCTGAGGTCTACAGATTGAGGTTTGAAGCCTGGGGCAGAAAAGTCCAAGAGTCTCAGGTCCAATTCACCAGCAAAAAAGCTAGGATTGGAGTCTTTTTTTTGCCTTGAGCAAAAAAGCTAGATAAGATTTAAAAAAAGCCTCAAGTTCAAGTCACAGAAGAAAGAATGTGACACAACAGAAATAACTGACAAGCTAAGAAATGGTTTTACCTGGGGCTGGGAAGGTGGCTCAGTGGTAGAGCGCTTGCCTTGCATGCCTAAGGCCCTGGGTTCGATTCCTCAGCACCACATAAACAAAAAAAAAAAGCCGGAAGTGGTGCTGTGACTCAAGTGGTAGAGCACTAGCCTTGAGCTGAAGAGCTGAGGGACAGCGCCCAGGCCCAGAGTTCAGGCCCCACGACCGGACCAAAAAAAAAAAAAAAAAAGAAATGGTTTTACCAAATTTCCCCTGATAGGCATCATTCTAGTAGGCCGTGGGGAAAAAGTCTGCATCTAAGAATATCTCATGTGTCAAAGTACTTGCTGGGAGAGTTCTGTTGCATGGGCAAAACACATGACTGATCACTAGTACTGCCATCAGAATATCAGCAAACATAGTATTTATCCTCTACTTCCATACTATTGAAATTAGTACAAAAATCACATCTAGGCCAACAAGTTCACAATGAGAAACCTACAGAAAGCTGTATAAGCAGAGTTTTAACTGTGATCTTAAATATTATTCCCTTAACAGCTTACTTTTCTGGCAGGCTGAAAGGAGAAATTATATTTATGTTTTTATTCCCCAAGTATTAATACTACCTGCTCAGTATGTTTGCTGTATGAATGAATGACAAATAGAAATAAAAATGGACAAGTGAGCCAAGCAGTATGTAACAGCAAGACAACAGACATAAGATGCATTTTGGTTTTCACCTTTGAAGCCCTTTTTGCAAGTACACCTGTATCCATTCACCAGATTATCACACGTCCCTCCATTCTGGCATGGGTTAGAGAGACATTCGTTTCTGTCTACTTCACAGTTGGTGCCAACCCAGCCTGCATCACAGAGGCACTTGTACCTGAAAGAAGATAAAGAGTTTTTGCCACAGGAGGAATAACACACAATTGAATCATAGAGTCAATATACTGGAATTGGTGAAGAAATAAGGGAACAGAGAAGTCTTTAAGTGAGCTCATCTCATTTTTATTCTTTTATGGTCTACAATGGATGCATCAGGCACTTGGTAAGAATCACATGAACTCATCTAGTGTGCTCAGTAAAGAGACTACAGGATGCTTTCCTGGGTCACTGAGAAGCCAGTAAAACCAATTACAGTACAATTTCATAGGTAAACAATGGTTTAATCAAATATACTGAGCCAATCCAAAGGGCAGAACTAACATGGATGAATCTATACAGTTTACTTTCTTACATACATTTAAAAAATAAAACAAAAAAACATAGGAAGTGGACCTGTGCTCAAAGTGGCAGAGCACTAGCTTTGAGTGGAAAAGCTCAGGGACAGTGCCTAGACCTAGAGTTTAAGCCCCATGACTGAGGGTCCCCTCCCCCTCAAAAAATTAACATAAAAGAAACTTTAGGGTCCCTGGTTTCTTGTGCAAAACAGACAGCAGGAAATAGGTCAGAGATAGATTCTCTGTTTCACTGAAGAACTCCAAGGATCAGATGGCCACAAAAAATTCAGAAAGTATCAGATTTTCAAGCACTTTGGATTTTTGGAATAGACATGCTCAATTTGCATTCAAATAAAATGTCTCTAAGTGATTTAGTCAGACATTTATCTTTCATGAGTTTCCAAGAGAAAACTCACAGAAGAAATAGTATGTGACACAGTAAAAATAATAGTGACAAGAAATGGTTTTACCAAATTTCCCCTGCTAGGCATCATTCTAGAAAGCCATGTGAGCCATACTTTATTTTACCTGAAACGCTACTTCAGAAAGCACCCGGGACATTGAGCAGGAAAAGAGACAAGAACAAAGATATATACGGTCTCCAAAATGAGTGACATTAGTACTTAGCATGTGGTATCATGAGAAGAGGGCCACCTATGAGATCTGTCAGGAAAGGATGGATGGGGAGGGGTTGAGGGCTGCCATACACATTCTTCATTCTTTTACCTGATAGAAGTTTGGCAAAGAGCAATGCAAAACACTGTTTTATAACAAGGATATCAAGAGCATAAAACCATATAATGAGACCAAAGGTCACGCTGTGGTTCTGAAAATTACCAACACATCACCCAACTCTAATGAGAGGCAGTCAACCTGCCAAGGTTTCATCAGGGCCATGTCTCAAGTTGGCTGAACCAGTTCTACCCTAGAGTATACACAGGTGGATCAAAGCTGTGCAGAGAGAAAATTAGGGCACACCATTTCTTAGAACTCAATCCCATAATAAGTACCAACACACAACTGCCAAAGGTGCATGACGCAGCTTGGCCTCCTCCCATGAAATCCCTGTTAATTACATATAGGATAGAGGTAATATTCCTTATCTGACCACCTAGGTCCTCAGTCAGGAAAGGTAGGACAAAGTGGTCATCTGCAAGGCTTTGATGGCCATGATCAAAATGTTCGGTCAAGCCCTGGTTCCCAGCTGACATTTTCAGATGATCATCAGGACCAAAAATCTGAGGGGTTTGACCCAGCTCAGCACAGCACTGTGATCCTTTGGCAGCTACTCACCCACTGAGGCCCCCAGTGCAGTTGCCATGGATGCAAGGGCTGCTCAAGCATTCGTTCACCCGGGAGTAGCAACTGGGGTGATGGGGTCCTTCTGGACACATGCAGCGGAAACCATTCACATCATTGATGCAGGTTGCACCCTTGCGACAGGGATTGGAGGCACACTCATCGATGTCAATATTGCATCTTTGCCCTGGAGAGAAGGGAAGGGAGCAGTGCCACTCAAATCCCCTATTCTCAGGGAACGTACGCATTGACGTTCTTCCTCTGCAGGGACTCTAAGTGCCCCAAATGTCAAGATCTAAGGAATGAGACACTTCAAAGTATTTCATGCCATGCATATAAGGGGCAAAGGACATTGACATCTGACCACAGTGAATGGAACACTGGTCAGTATTGTGTTGATCTAATGTGTATTTCTACTTCCATTTGGAAATGGGGAATTTTCACAAGGCATTATTACTAAGAATGTCAAGTGCTAACGAGAAAGTTGCTCCTCCTGATGTTGTGAATTAACTCTAAAAAGCTTTCTGATACTGGGCACTGGTGGCTCATTAGCTGAGTAGCGAATCCTAGCTACTCAGGAGGCTGAGATATGAAGACTGGGGTTCAAAAGCCAGCTGAGGCAAGAAAGCCTAGGAGACACGTACCTCCAATAAACTTAAAAAAAAAAAAGCCAGAAGTGGCATTGTGGTTTAAGTGGTAGAGTGCTAGCCTTGAGCACAAACAGGCTCAGGGACAGCCCTGAGTTCCAGCACCAGCACGTGCGTGTGCATGCGTGCGCGCGTGCGCATGCACACGCGCACACACACACACACAAAAGAAAAAGCTTTCTGCTGTCTGCTCCAGACACTCATTCATTCATTTTATGCTGCTAGTGGATTTAAGACTCAGGACCTTACGATCTTGCTTGGCTTTTTTGCTCAAGGCTAATAACTACCAGTTGAGCCATATCTCTGCTTCTGGCTTTTTCATGGTTAACTGGAGATAAGAATCTCTTAGATTTGTCTGCCTAGGCTTGCTTTGAACCTCAATCTTCAGATCTCAGCCTCCTGAGTAGCTTGGATTTGGGGCATGAGACACAGCTGCCTGGCCCCAGATTCATTGTTTCCAGCTAGTCAGGCTCTGTCTAATTAACTAAAAGGCTTATTAAGTCCATGAACTATTAACTTACTTTAAAAAGAAATGCCATTGTGTTTTCACCTTATTTATTTTGGTGCCAGTCTTGGGGCTTAAACTCAGTGCCTGGGTGCTGTCTCTGAGCTTTTATGCTCAAGGCTAATGCTCTATCACCTAAGCCACAGATCCACTTTCAACCTTTTATTTGTTAATTAGTGATAAAAGTCTCCTGGGTTTTCCTGGATGGGCTGCCTTTGAACTGCGATCCTCAGACCTCAGCCTCCTGAGTGGCTAGGATTACAGGCATGAGCCACCAGCACCCACCCGTGTTTTCATTTTTAAGAGTTACATTAGCCAATTAACTACCAGAAAACTGAAACTGGTGCAGTAGCTCAAAGTGGAAAAGTGCTAGCCTTGAATGAAAATGCTCAAGGATAGCACCTGGGCCCTGTGTTCAAACTCCATGACTGACAAAAAGCAAACAAAAAAGGAAACAAGTTATGATCTGAGGATCAAAGCCAGTTCAGGAAAGAAAGTCCACTCTTATCTCCAATTAACCAGTAAAATAAAATTATAAGTAGAGGTGTGGCTCAAGTGGTAGAGTGTCAGCCTTAAGTGAAAAGTTAAGAGGACAGTACCCAGACAGTGAGTTAAGTCTCTTAAAGTTCTTTTAAATGATATTGCTTAGGCCCAGCTGCCATAGATTTTTTTTGTGGGTGGAGCCCAACAACTGCATTTAAAAATATGCAAGTGGTCCAAACACTAGATTATAATTTTAGCATTCTCTAACAGTGTAGATGCTAGGAAGGAATGAAATCAAAGTGACTGCTCCTCTTCCAAGACATTCCCTAAGACATCTTGGAAAAACTGTCTGCTTTGGTCTTGCTCTTCAATGCATTAGACTGAATAAAGTAAAAAGTGGGCCAATCATAAAAGTGCTTTGATTTGTTAAATAAGATTTAAGTATAAGCTGGGTACCAGTGTTTCACACCTAAAATCCTAGCTACTCAGGAGGCTCAGATCTGAGATCATATTTCAAATCCAGCCAATGCAGAAAAAAAAAAAGACTTACCTCCAATTAACTGGCAAAAAGCCAGCAACAGAATGGCTCAAGTGGTAGAGCATCAGCCTTGAGTGAAAAAGCTAAGCAAGAGCACCAGTCCCTGAATTCAACCCCCAATACTGGCACATGCACACATACATACTTTAAGTATATATTCTGAAGTGAGATATAATTTTATGTTTTCCTATAATTCCTATAATGAGTGAAATTAAGCAACTGTTATGAAGGAATTTACAAGTTTCAAAGAATACAATTGTTCTGATTCAGATAAAAAAACACATTTTTTAAACTTAAGAAAAACCAACCCTGCATTTAGAACAGGAAATTCCAAATTAAATAGATGTACACCCTTTAAAGTATGGGTATTAACATTTTTCACTCTCCATTGCTCTATAACCTGTTATTGGTGGTTCTTGTGGTAAAGACCCATAATCTGGAAGTGGTTGCTGTTTTCCTCTGTTTTATTAATAATTTGTTTGAAATACTATTTCTTTTTTGCCTCAACCAGTGATTCTTTGAGATTTATGCCATTGGAACCAAGAAATGAACCACAGTTCTTTATCTATGAAGCCATCCTGGGCTTGCAACCCAATGAAGGATGAAAGAAATCTTTTTTGTTTTTGTTTTTTTGCATGTCTTGGGGTTCAAACTCTGGGCTTGGGTGCTGTCCCTGAGCTTTATTTGCTCAAGGCGAATGTTCTACCACTTTAACCACAGTGGCCCTTCTAGCTTTTTTCAGTTGTTTATTGGAGAGAAGAATCTCATAGACTTTCCTGCGTGGGCTGGTATAAAAAAATGATCCTCAGATCTCAGCCTTCTGAGTAGCTAGGATTACGGGTATGAGCCACGTTGTGTCCAGCTCAAATGGCCCTTTTCATTTTGGGTTCTGTGAAACTATTTCTGCAGATGCCACTCCTTCCAAGTTCTTCACTTCCTTTTTTGTTTGTTGAGTTTCCTTCCTACTTTTCTCCATCCTCCTTCTCCCTCTCCTTTTGGTTTTTTTCATTGCTGATGTTTGTTGTTTTTTGAGGCGGATTAACCTGGAACTCACAATTCTCCTGCCTCTGCCTCCTAAGAGCTAAGATTACAAGTGTGAAACTTTATGCTCAGCTTCTTTTAATGTGTGTGGTGCTGGAGATCCAACTTAGGACCTTGTACATGTAAGGCATACATTATACTATTTATTCTCTCATTTGCTTGGAAACTCTTCCCACCCCACCCCCACCCCCCTTCTTCCCCCGCCAGTCATGGGGCTTGAATGCTGGGCCTGGGCACTGTCCCTGGCTTCTTCAGCTCAAGGTGAGTGCCCTACCACTTGAGCCACAGCACCACTTCTGGTTTTCTGGTGGTTCATTGGAGATAAGAGTCTCATGGACTTTCCTGTCTGGGCTGACTTTGAACCACGATCCTTACATCTCAGCCTCCTGAGTAGCTAGGATTACAAGTGTGAGCCACTGGCACTTAGCTTGACACTCTTTTGAGAACAAATCTTAAGCCACCTCTGTAGGTTTCAAGTGCTCCTTGCATAGTCTACAAATACGCATTGGTGGATACTTCCCACCAAGGCCTGCCCTCACACAGGGTCTACTGAATATTACAAATGCCCAATGCAAGCTATGTACTGAGTGGGGCCCTGCCATTCCTGAAAGGAGAAGTTACCCCATGGAGAACGATGGAATGGGTTACTCTGGTCAAGATGCACCATATTCATAAACTGACATGCTGAACTGAAATCCCTCTGCACGACTACTTAATGATAACAAAAAATTATATATATATGGAGATATATATATGGAGAGAGAGAGAGAACTTTCCCTTGTTTTACACTCCCTAGGTATGTAGTCAGTGAACTGGTGTTTCATCAATGGCAGTCCTAACTCAATCTGGCTGGATAGTAAGAGTGCTGTGCTTAAGGCTTACTAATGCATGCATGCATTCAACAACATTTACTGAGTATCTCCTTTAGCATGACAATATTAAGGGAGGTCCCTACCCTCTGGGGATTCATAGATTTCACTGTGCAGGCTGCTAGCTAAGGACGCGGCCACATGAAATTCCTCCTTTCAGGTGCTTCATTAGTTAATGGGGGGGATAACAACTTTTTCCTGGGCTGGTGGGAGAATTCAGGACAATAATGCATCTTTGGTGGCACTTTGTAAACTGAAAAGGAGTTTAGGGGAGTACCATGGATCTTTATCCTCCCCCAATTAATTAAAAAGTATTAATAGGTTCTAGAAGAACACAGAATTTAGTCTTAAAAGGAAGACAAAAACAAAATGTCTCCCTTAAATCTTTCAATGTGCAGAGAGAGCATTAAAATAAAACAAGAGAGAAAAAAAACCCTCACATTTACTGCTCATGAGTGTATACCACAGTCATCTTAGATATTTTCAGCAGCTGCTTTACAACAAAAACAAACAAGCAAACAAAAAAATCTCAGACCCAGAAAACAGTTCCAAGAACAGAGTAACACCCAGTAACCAAAACATTCCATTTCTTGGTTATGTAGTTTCATGCTACACCTTAAGTTTATTTTAGAATATTTTTAGCCTCTGTCCTCTGTCCTTGACCTTGCTGGGTTTCTAAATGTTAAAAAGAGAAAGAATATGATTCACTGGCATTTCAAAAAAATAAATAAGTCCAGTAGAAACCTTACGTAAACCCAGAAAAAACCACAAGGCAGCAAGGCTGCCTGGGGACTGCGGTGGGAATGAACCTGGGCTCTGGGTCAGCCTGCCTGGACAAATACAGCTTAGCCTTGTGAAACGCTGATTCCCTATCAGAACCATAGAAAAGGTAAAAGCCAGGACAACTAAATGAGATTTGGCATCCATTCTAGTGCCTCACTCAGAGTAAGTCCTTAGTACACGTTAACCATCCTCTTCAGGGTCAGTAGGACCCAGCTTTCCTCAGCAGTTTCCAGTACTTTTTTCTCTTAATTTTAAAAAGTTATCCTTAAATAGTTGTGCAAAGGGGGTTCAATCCAACATGTCAATTTATGGGTAAAATGTTTTTTGTGTGTGTGCTGGTCCTAGGGCTTGAACTCAGGGCCTAAGCACTGTTTCTAAGCTTTCTGCTCAAAGCTAGTGCTCTTAACACTTGAGCTTTTTTTTCCCCTTCTTTTTGGTAGTTAATTGGAGCTAAGAATCCCATGGACTTTCTTGTCTGGGCTGGCTTTGAACTTTAATCCTCAGACCTCAGCCTCCTGAGCAGCTAGGATTACAGGTATGAGCTACTTGGTGCCCCACAACCTTGGGTTTATTTTACAGAAAGAATGTACTACTACCTAAAGGAAAACAAAGGTGGCTTTTGGAGGCAATTTAATTCAATAACAGTGATGGAAATTTACAGTCTTTCTAGGAATTCTTCTCAGGTAGCAAGAAACACAGAGTCTGTAAACCCTAATTATAGAAAAGTGTTAGGTTTCAGTTTAGGAAGGATCTATAGGCAAACAAGTTCAGGGAAGCACAGCAGCAGATCTCCAACCTCCCACAGAGATCAAGAAACAAGAGACATTGGAAAGTCATTTTCTCTTGGGTACCATTCTCCTAAAGTAAAACCTGTGGATACAAGTAGTGTTACCTGTGAACCCAGGTGAGCAGACACAACTGTAGCGATTGATGCCATCAACACAGGAGCCTTGAACACAAGGGTTGCTAGCACAGTCATCAAAATTGATTTCACAATTAACTCCTGCAAAGAGAAACCATTCCATATTACCACAGAAATACTCTTCTGCTAGTCATGTGATATGTTAAGACATATCCAGGCAACCCCAAAGAAAGTGGCAGGGATCTTTTGTTCAAAATGGCTTCACTACTTCCTTCGTTGTGCTGACATTCATGCTGACGGGGCGAAGGCCTTCAGGTAAGACGGCTCACACGCTGGCAGGAATCCAGGCAATGGCACTAAACTGGGCTAGCTGGCATGGATACCCCCCTGCACGTCAATGTCAACTAAGAATGGCTTTTGGTGAAGAGGGTAAAATTTTATTAGATCTGGAAATAATTCTAAACTGGGAAGGACACATAAACACACTTCTGCACTAGCAAGTGTGTTTCTTCTTATACTTGTTAGTACAGAAATGTACCCAGGAAGCCAGATACCAGTGGCTCACGCCTGTAATTCTAGCCACTCAAAGGCTGAGATCTGAGAATCACAGCTCAAAGCCAGCCTGGGCAGGAAAGGCCATGAGACTCTTAACTCCAACTAACTAGCAAAAACAAAACAAAAACAAAAAACAGAAGTTGTGGCTTGAGAAAAAGAAAAGGAAGAAAAAGCCAAGCAAGAGATCAAGGCTCTGAGTTCAAGCCCTAGTACCAACACACACACACACACACACACACACACACACACACACACACACCTACCTATTTATTAGTAATGGCATTCCAAATTTACTGAGATATTATTATGTGTAAAGCACTCTGTCTGCGCTTTCCATTTCTGTTTATTCCTCTTAGCTAAGTTTCAGAGCCGGCTGTGTCACACCCACTTCATGATGGTACAGCTGACCCGCATAGCACTGGTGACAAAGGACAGTTCGGACTGAGTCCTGTCCTCTGCTTCCACAGCTCTATGCTGTTTCCTGCCTGCCATGATGCCTTCCTGTGTTGACAGGGCTAACCTGCCTTCAGTAGCCAAAAATGAGAGAAGGATTTCCATTACTGCTGCATAAATCAGTGCATTTAGCAGATGTGTCTCTAATCTTTGGCTGACAACTTTCCTTACCCCTCAATCCTGGCCCAAGAAGCCCCAATAATTGAATGTGGCAACAGCCCATGGCCATGGTTCCCTTGAGCAGGAAGTGACACCTGGATGCAGCTGAGACAATGAGCTACTGTACTGAAATCTGACCAGGGTAACCTCTGGTCTACTAACTGCCTGGCTTTGTGCTGTTCTCCCCAAAGCCTTATGATTCTATCCTGCTCAGAAATTCTAAGAGGTTTCTGTATGTCTTCACTAAGTGATTCGGTTGTTGGCTTCTTTCTGATTCTTTAGGCTAGCTCCAGTCTTTATGAAGAATTAAACAGATTACCATCCTCAAAGCACAGACAGATAACACAGAGAGAAAGCTCTAAACATAAGCTCTCAAGCCCCACTGCACCCCGTTCTATCCATATCCCCACCCAAACAAGCTACAGCTCAGACCATATTATACATGGGTCTCAGACTCCTGATGCTCTTCTCTTCATACTGTCCTGTATGTGGACTTTCCACCCAGATCTCTAGTACATGCCAGCTTCTTCACCACCTAACACACACCTCTTTTTTGTGTGTGTAAGCTAGTATTGGGACTGTCCTTTTTGCTTCTTCATTGAAGGCTGGTGCTTTAATACCACTTGAGCCATGTTCCACTTTGTGTGTGTGTGTGTGTGTGTGTGTGTGTGTGTGTGTGTGTGTGTGTGTGCTTTAATACCACTTGAGCCATGTTCCACTTTGTGTGTGTGTGTGTGTGTGTGCTTTAATACCACTTGAGCCATGTTCCACTTTGTGTGTGTGTGTGTGTGTGTGTGTGCTTTAATACCACTTGAGCCATGTTCCACTTTGTGTGTGTGTGTGTGTGTGTGTGTGTGTGTGTGTGTGTTTGCCGGTCCTGAGGCTTGAACTCTGGGTATAGGCACTGTCTCTGAGCTCCTTTTACTCAAGGCAACCATTCTACCACTTGAGCCACAATACCACTTCAGAATTTTTCTGTGATTTAATTGGAGATAAGAGTCTCACAGACTTTCCTGCTTGGGCTGGCTTCGAACTATGATCCTCAGGTCTCAGCCTCCTGAGTATCTAGGATTACAGACATGAACCACCAGCAGCTAGCTGGTTTTAATTCTTCAAACAGCTGCAGGAACATGCCTGGCAGGGTTCCAAAAGATTCTGGGCCTTCCTCTCCAGGCTGCCTGCTGCAACCCACTCCTATTTACTTCTTGCCTTCCAGTGACAGCTACCTTGTCTACAAAACACACCTGATCTAGCCTGGCACACCATGACAAAATCCCAGAGGAAGCAGTGCTTGCCTAGCCATCCGCACCCACACTTCCAGGTTGTCTGTGTAACAGGAGTGACAGCAAAGCTTGAAACCACTCCTGCATTCGAACGGCATCCATTCAGATCCTTATAAATCTCACATTTCTTCTCATACAGCATTTCTCATGTCTGGGGACCGGCCCGGAAGCAAATTGCTTTTGGAAGGTTTCACAAAGATCTATTCAGCCCTTTGAGGGAGTTATCTAAATGTGGGGAGGGGGAGGCACTCTCGGCTGTGAAGGCATGGGATGTTTTTCGTATGCTTGAGCAATTCAAAAAGGACTTTGTTTCCAAACTTGGCATGTGTGAGGGCCTGGAAGAAGACCAGGGCCTTTGACAAGTTTGGAGAAATGGATTTGGAAATAACACAATAAAGGGAGAGCAGCTAAACACTGCCCCCACCTCTGGCCCCCTACACAGGCCATTTTCCTGAAGTCCAGGATGAGCTGGGAATAAATCATCCCTCATACTGGCAGGTTCCCTGCCAGCTAAGGCACACATTGGTTAATCTTCCACTAATACATTTTCCTTTGATCTGGGACATGAGCCACAGTTGTGTCCATAGTTGTGTTCCTCTGATATATAAAACAGAATCCAGTGACCCTGTGATATGCTCCTGCCTGAGAAAGCAATTGCAAATGTCCCCCAATAGGCCCTCAACCTAATGGGTGCCTTCAACTAGGATCAGGGAATAGCAGTGCACACTGGGAAGGGGCAATGGACACTCACAGCTACTTCACAATCCCCATGGTGGGTGGCAAATGTCTCCTCTCCCTCAAATCCCGAAGGACCCGAGGTCCCACTAGATACAGTGAAGAGCAGGCCAGTGACTACAAAACAGAAAAGAAAGTACTGGAAGGAAGGGAGTTAGGGGATAGGGACTAAAGGAAGGAAGGAAGAAAGACTGAATTCATTAACCTAGGTGGGGACAGGCTTAGTGGAAAAAAAGAAAATCAATAAAGCCACAAAGATAAGGTGTTCGATTTTTCAAAATATCTTTGAAAGTGATATGATTTCATGAATGCCAAATACAACATCATCAGACTGGGACTCCTATTTTTCCCACTAGTTACAGCTGTCTGCTTAGAGATGTTCTGTTTCTGGCTTTAGCTATGCTTCTAAAAATCTGTATCATTTTTTATTTTTTTCTGTGCTGGTACTAGGGCTTCCTTAGCTTTTGTCCTCAAGGTTGGATTCTACAGTTAAGCCACTTCTGCTTCTTGGTTAACAAGCCTTGCAGGCTTTTCTGCCCCAGCAGAAACACTAAAACTTAGATCTCAGTCTCCTGAGTAGCTAGAAATACAAGTAACAGCTACGGGTGCCTGACTGAATCAGGACTACTACTGAGGCATCTAAACTAATGATAGGAAAATGGAGATTTTTGTGTAAATTGTGTGGAGATCCGTGGAACACCCAATCAAACAGCCAGAGTATCTTACCTGACGTGCCTGGCTGGCAGTTGCACTGGTAGCCGTTCACCAGGTCAATGCAGCGTCCTTCATTCAAGCAGGGGCTGCTGTAACACTCGTCTATCTGGTCACTGCAGATGGCCCCCATGTAGCCGGGGTTGCAGAGGCAGGTGTAGGAATCAATCCCGTCCTGGCACTGCCCATGATGGCAAGGGTCAGGGTCACAGTTGTCGACATTCTCCTCACATAACACGCCAGTAAAGCCTCAGGAAGGAATTTTACCAAGAAGATTCAGAACCAAGGCAGGTACTGCACACTTGAACCCAAAAGACAACTTATCCATTTTTTCCCTGGATGGCCTAGGGAGAATTACTGATGACCCTGAATGCTGGGAACTGGCTGACTGCTTTGATTGAGAGCACAAGCTTGGAGAGCAGCGCTCAAAATAAAGATGCCCAATCAAATTTGCAGAACTGAAATACTCTGTGACTGACCCCTGGGTTGACTGGAAAGATGCCTTAACTTTGGGATTCGAAGCAAACAGCTCTCAACATTGATGTCTTCAAAAGCTTATATGTGAATATCTTTCCTGCTGAACCTACCACGACCGGTGCTCATTAATGATTTCATGCAGCTCATCTTCTTAATACTAACTTTGGAGGACACAGAATTTTGTTCTGCTCAATCTCTTCCAGAGGGTTTTAATGCTCCCAGAATGTTTAAATGAAAAAGAGACAAATAAGAAATAACATGCAACTAGATCCACTTCCATCTCTTCCTTCCTGGCTCTTGTGCGCCTCTCCTCCTTCTTCATGTGCTTCCTAGGGTTTTAGTCATTTTTTAGTGATGGCTGTGCTTCATGAGAACAAGCTGGTTGAGCAAGACAAAGCCTAGAGCTTCTCCAATGGAAGGAAGTTCAGAGGTTCAGTATAGTCAACCTCATTTAAGAAGGTCTAGTAATGCAAACATCCATTTTCTTCACAATATTTGTGACTAAGACTGCTTTCCTGTAATTACACAGAAATAGTGAACACAATGTCCCTAGAGTTCTTTGAGAACCCATTTTCTAAAATAAAACAATGTCTTTCATCAATGTCTTTTTCAAACCAGTAGCTCAGCCAAGAACCTGAGCCTTTCTCTCTAGCACAGGCAGCCCCTGCTGTTTGGGCACAGCCCCTCCACGCTATCTGTAACAGTCAGCACTTTCCCTAGAAGGAAAATGAGTGGGTGCTTACCTGTGGCACATTGGCATTCATAGCCATTCGGGTGATCAATGCACTTGGCCCCATTCAGGCATGGAGTACTGGAACAATCATCGATGTCAATCTGGCACACTGGGCCTGTGAAACCTTGAAGAAGTACAGGGGACAGATACAGGTCAAAGAGTGCTCTGCTTTCCTCACTGAATGGACAATGCCAATGAAGGGTGGGTTATGATACTGGCAGGGAGGATGCCACTGGGTCGCCAAACAGAAGGGTTCTCCCAGCAAGTGACTGGAATACCTGGGGAATGTCAGGAGTGGTGCCAACAGCCCTGCTCGTTCCGAGCACAGCATTTCCTCAGAAGGAAGTGGAGGAATGGAAATGCTGTGTGGAGGTGGAGCACTCAGTGAGTCCTTGGATCCTAACAGGCATTTTCCTGGAAAAAGCTATGGTCTACGGAAAATGCTTCGAGCACTTTCAACAGCGGTACAAGAGCAAAAAGTAGACACAGAAACCAGGGCCAGTGGCTCACTCCTGGAATCCTAGCTACTCAGGAGGCTGAGTTCTGAGGATTGTGGTTTGAAGCCAGCCCAGGCAGGGAAGTCTGTGGAACTCTTATTTCCAACGAACCATCAAAAAGCCAGACGTAGAGCTGTAGGCTCAAGTGATAGAGTGCCAGACTTAAGTAAAAAGGCTAAAAGACAATGCCTAGGCCCTGAGTTCAAGCCCCAGAACTGGTACAAAAAGAAAAAAAAAAAGGGAACACAAAAAGACAAAAACTGATGTATGCTGATTGCCTGATTCAAGGGGTAAAATGTCTAAAACAAATGCTCTCACATAGAGGCTTGAACAATATGACCCAGGGGAAAAAAATAAGATCCCAAATCACCTGTAACTCAAGTTTCTATGAGGTGCGTGTGCTCTTAAATATGTACCAGACAGAAAAGTCAAGGGCCATTCAGAAATAAACTTGGACAGGGGACTATAAGCGACTTGTAAGCCATACTAGCTGAAACAATCCCCTCTCTGTATACGCACAGGCTCTTACCAACCCTCACTGTAATGGTTTCCGTGTGCACAGCCCATATGCATTTCTCCTCCTCCCTTCCCGGGCACAGTGAGCTTTGTGCTTTATGGGAACACAGGGGATGGGGTGGCACTCACCAGGGGGACACAGACACTGGAAGCGATTGACTTTGTCCACACACTGCCCGTTGTTCACACAAGGGTTACTCTGGCATTCGTTGATCTCCAGTTCACAATGCACACCTTTGAAACCTGCACAATATGGACCCCATGTGTGACTCCGAAGGAGAGAAAAACATCCCAACTAAGAAAGCATAGATGTACAGAGAGGGCTACAATGGCTCTGAGCATAATACTTCTGCTAAGGGAAAGGCTGTGGTCCTGGTAACCTATGGAACAAGGACTGCTGCGGGATCCTTGTTACAGCAGAGGAACAAAGTTACATCTTCATGTAAGATGTGGTGATCCTTGACATGCAAACTATGACTCCTCCACTCTCTCAGCCCCATGCCTCCTGGACAGTGCTGGGCCCAGTGACTCGTTCTTTATTTCTAAAGAATGGCTGAGCTGTTATTGTTCTCAGGTAACAGGTTAAAAGTTCAGGAAGGACCAAAGCTGGAACTGCAGTCCTTCCTTCATCAGCCAAAGAAGATTACCTCAGCTGTCACTTCTGGCTGGATTTGGCTGGGTTCTCTTGAATCCTCAGAGAACACAGAGAATTCTTGGTTGTAGAACAGCTCCAGAACATTGCTAAGCTGGTGCTTTTCTTTGTCTACAGGGCAACTGCCTGCATAACTGTGAGTAAAATCTTGCTTCATAGGTGGAATGGAGTGGTATTTATCATCTCTTTTATCAAGGGACCAGAAAAACTAGCTATTAGAAGGAGGCTAAATGGCAAATAGCTTCTGACATTTTCTAGTACCTGGATCTAGATTCTAACATGATAAGCTTGTTTAATTTGCTGTGTGTTGCTCTCACAACTCTAGTACTGCCTTACTCTGGAAGGAAGGGGTATGCCTAAGAGCCCTGACATCCAACAGCATTGATGAGCATAAGAAAGCAAGCTGCTGGGGAAGGTGGAGTAAAGCCTGCCTCTCAAGCCCCAAGTCCCATGGGCCATTTACCTGGCATGCATAGACATGTGAAGCCCCCGATCTTATCCAGGCAGGTGGCATCATTCTGACAGGGGTCCGAGTGACACTCATTGATGTCCATCTCGCAGCGAGGCCCTGCATAGCCCTTGAGGCATTCACAATGGAAGGCTCCATCTGTATTCACACACTTTCCTGCATGCTCACAAGGATTGCTGTTGGCTACAAGACACAAGCACCAGTTACCGAGATCCAAGCTTTAAGAATCCAAAAGGGGACTACAGGGAGAGAGCAATGGTACGAAAACACGGCTAGGCCATTACCAAGCCTTCTCTCTATTTTCATTGTCCTCCTTAATGGGGGAGAAGATAAAACTAGGGTACTTGCCATTGCTGTGCCTTTCTGTTATTCTTTTGCTTAAACAATCTAACAATCAAGTCTAGACCTACATATTTAGTTCCCAGAATGGGATCTATGAGCATAAAGGAAAGGCAGTTGTAAACCATGTACATGGAACAAGAGAAATTTGAGGTTTGAGTGTTAACGCATCCTAGAGTGAAATGTGCTTCTGTGTAAACACTTGCTGGGCCAACACGCTTTTCAAGCTTGGGAAAGGCTGTGTGATCTCACTCACCCATGGCACACTCATCCACATCTTCGGTGCAGTCTGCCCCCTTGTAGCCCTGTGGGCAGGTGCAGATGTACTGCCCATTCAGGGGGTTGGTGTCACACAGCGCACCCTTGTGGCAAGGATTGCTGATGCAGGCATCATCCAGATGACACAGGAGACCTGTCACAGGGTGGGGCAGAAAAAGAAAACAGCTCTCACTTGCAGAAGAGCTTTCCCTCCTCCATGGAGAGGGACCTGATGAGCTGCTCCCCAAAATCCAACATGAAGATTCAGAGGTTAACTTCCCCTTTGCCTGATCTAATGTCAGGGCCATACTGTAGCCATCAGCAAAGCACGTAGTTGCTTCGGACAACCTGAGTGCTCCAATCTGAGCCCTCAGCCAGGGTTTTCCTCCAAGGCAGACACATGTACAGGCTTGAAAATCAGAGGAAGAATATGGAGAAATGGAGATGTCCTCCAGAGAATGTGCCAGATTTAGCAATTAAAACTGAAGATGCTCCATTAAATTGAGTGTAGAGGGTGTAGAGGGATGGGCGTGTCAGGCCCTGATACTGGGGCTTGAACTCAGGGCTCTATCCCTTAGCTTTTTTGCTGAAGGCTGGTGCTCTACCATTTAAACCACAACTCCATTTCCAGATTTCTCATGGCTAATTGGAGATAAAGAGTCTCACAGATTTGTCTGCCCACCCTGGCTTTGATCCTCAATCCTCAGAGATCTTTGCCTCCTTAGTAGTTAAGATCCATTAAATTTAAATTTCTGATAAAAGGTTAATATGTGTTAAATATTGCCTGCATCCTGGGTTTTATCTGGCATCCTCCTTCTCTATCATCATGCTACCTAATGACATGGGCTCAAGCGATCTCCCAAGCCTCAGAAACAATCAGCAACTGAATACCGTCCACCTCTGTAATACTGGCCATTTAATCACTTTAGCATTCCTGGATCAATTGTCATCAGGTCTCTGATGAAACTAGGCTTCCTGTCCCGCAGATTTCCACTAAGAACTGGCTTTTCCAGTCTGTGATTAGCTAATGCTTCTTCCACAAAAATGCAAGTGAGGCTCTTTGAAAGGCAGAAATAGAACATTTCAAAAACAGCTACACTTTTGGAAACTCTTGGGTTCACTAGCATCTTCAATGACATTTGACCTCAAGAACCACACATTTAAACTGAGAGGCAAGGCTCCCTTTATAGTGATAAAAATCTACTGTGGGATATTTTCATAGGTATTGAGTATTGAAATGCACTTACGTGCTTCTTTTGCCAACTCCTTTGGATTAAATAGATTATTCTTAAAATGAAGTTCAGGAGTTCACTTATTAGTCATCTATAGAGTCTAAATTTCCAAAAGGCTCTTCTGTCTAAGGTCATGAGGAATTCTGCAGATGTGCCTCTAAAGAACAGGGTTACTAGCCTTTCTTTTCTGCAATGAAAAGGAAAAACTATCGAGCTGACAACATCTTAAGGAAGGACACTCCATAACCTTTGGCCAGCAAGTAACATTTCCAGAATAGTCCTGGATGACAGGTTCCTACAGATGGAAATTCACAGAGCACAGCTACCAGATGCAAGAGAAGGCAGAGAGGCTCTAGATGCTCACTGCCTGCCCCTCCCTTTCCTTTTCTCCAGCTCTGTCAGCTTACCTGCCTTTCCTTCTGGACACATGCAAGAGAAGGAGGCCACACGGTCGATGCAGGTAGAACCTGCAGTGCAGGAGGCAAAGGCACAGTCATCGATGTTTTCACTGCAATCATCTCCACTCCAGCCATTCACACACACGCAGCCATAGCCCCCATTGCTGTTGGTACAGGTTCCTCCATTCTGACAAGCATTGGGTTGCAGCAGGCACTCATCCACGTCCTCCGTGCAGAATTGCCCTATTGGAGAAAAAGAAGCTTTGATTAAGCTCATAGGCTGCAAAGGATGAGGACCATGCTAGCTTCTGATATCCTTCATTTTCATATAACCTGCCTAAAAGAAAGTAAGAAGAGTACACAGCAGTCCAGGCTCTCTTGGGAATTTTAAGGTTACCCTCAGCCATGTAAATTATATTTATTCAAGGCAAGTCATTTCAAGAAGAATGGAGATCACAATGCTTCAGAAGTCTCAGCGTGAGTCTTTAGCCAGCCTAACCAACAGGAGAGAAGTCCTGTAGTGCCCTTGACTCAGCTACATTATTGGGTCATTGATTCAAAACACAAGAAGAGGAAGGAAAAAAGAGCTTAAGAGAGTAAACAAAAAAAAATAATGCAAAGAAATTTAGACTCCTGCATCAAGTATTTAGGGCTACTTCTACATTTGGACTGTACCAGTGCGAGTGGCCTGGCAGTGACACCATATAGCAGTTTTGCAAGATGATTTTCTCCAATTAGCTCTGTGTGTATATGTGTGTTAGCGGGCACACACGCGCATGCCTGAACACCAGTCCTGGGGCTTGAACTCAGGGCTTTGTGATCTTGCTTCAGTTTTTTTTCTCTCAAGGCTGGTACTCTAAAACTCAAGTTGCAGAGTGTCATACCTCTACTTCTGACTTTTTGGTGGCCAACTGGAGATAAGGGTCTCAGATTGTTCTGCCTGGGCTGGCTTTAAACCACCTCATATATCATCCTCCTAAGTAGCTAGAATTACAGACATGAGTCACCAGTGTCAGGCTCTCAGATTCATTCTTATAACCTTATGCATGAAACTATAATTATCTTTTTTTTTTTGTCGGTCGTGGGGCTTGAACTCTGGGCTTGGGCACTGTCCTTCCGCTCTTCAGCTAAGATGAGTGCTCTACCACTTGAGTCACAGCGGTTTTCTAGTGGTTTATTGGAGATAAGAGTTTCACAGACTTTCCTGCCCAAGCTGGCTTTGAACCTCGATCCTCAGATCTCAGCCTCTTGAGTAGCTAGGATTACAGGCATGAGCCCGTGGCTACGGTGCCTGGCTGAAACTATAATTATCTCAAAGACTAAAAGTTAGGGAAGCAAGTATATATAGAATAAGTTAGAAACAATGAAAAGTCCTAACAAAGTGTGGATGTAAAAGGCAAGGCCAATAATAGGAAGAATGGAGTAACATGTTCTCAGCCTGAGGCAGAATGTCTCTCTAGTATAACAGGAGATGGGAAAAGAACTGTTTTTCTCTGTATATGCATGTATGGAAATGCTGCATGGGAACCCCCATATGGTACATTATGTGCTAATAAAAATGTGGGGAAAGAAGCACACTGAAGGATAATCAACAGATTTCCTAAGGGGGCAGCCATGATGGGATAGAACAGTGTCATTAGCAAAGAATAGAGTATAGGTTACTAGGTGCCAGTGGCCCATGCCTATAATCCTAGCTACAGGAGGCTGAGATCTGAGGATCATGTTTCAAAGTCTACTGTTCTTAAAGCCCCACTGTCTTTGATACCACTCTATGTCATGGCCCCCCTGAGAGATGCTACTGCACTGGCCTTTCTTACTTTCTTCTTTTTCTTTTTTCTTTGCTGGCACTGGAGCTTGAACTCAGGTACTGGGGCTTGAACTCAAGGCCTGGGCACTATCCCTTAGCTTTTTTGCTCAAAGCTGGAGTTCTACCATTTGAGCCATACCTCCCCTTCTGGCTTTTCACTGGTTAATTGGAGATAAAAGTTTCACACACTTTCCTGATTGGGCTATCTTTGAACCATGGTCCTCAGATCTCAGTAGTAGGATTATAGGTGTCCAATAGGCTTTCTTGATTTTAGATGACCTTCTGCCAATTGCAACCCAAAGTACTAATACTAAGTAAGTGAAGGCTAAGAGGAAGGGAGGGGCTGAGTGAAGGATAGGAAGGAATGAGTGAATGAATGACCAAAAGAGGAAGGAAACTAGGAAGTGGGAGAGGAAGAAAGCAGGAAGACAGTGAAGGAGTTAGTGACCTCAACAGCAATCCTCTCCCTCCCCCCCATGCCCCCCCCACTAGGAGAGATGATGTCATTTTTTATTACAGAAAACTTTGCTTCCTTACAGTGCTAACAGAAATGCTACTTCAAAGAATAGCAGCTATGTTATTAGGATACAGGTACAGATGAGAAATAAACACAGGATAAGAAGTAGGCGAAGAGCTGCTGTAACCTGGGGTATTTGCTGAGTCTTCTTTGTATACTTAGTCTACCTCAAATATCTCTGCTGCCCTTGAACCACACTGACTTGCAGAATTCCAGCATATTAGATGCTGTTTTTCTTTACTATGGGTCTGTGATAAATCAAAGTACAAAACTGTTGAAAATGACTTACTTAAATTCTTTATGTATTATAATACCTGAAATAGTGTTGAAAGATAGCCTATGGAAACAAATAAATAAATAAGTATTCTAGGTAAAATAAATATTTCCCTGGAGGAAAAAGCTGGCACTCTTGGGAAAAATCAATAAGACCACAAGTTGACTACTAGGAGGCAGGGACTGTGCTTGGGGCTATGATAAAACTGATCTCATTTACAGTGAGGAAACAAGAGAAAGAGATAAATTTAGCTTGCTCTCTAAGGCAATGAGAACAGTGAAGCTGAGATTTCAGCCAGGCTGACTCACTTATAACAAAGACTTGAAAATATTATTCTCATTTTTTGGTGCCGGTATTAGTTCTTGAACTCAGGGCCTGGGTGCTATCCCTTACCGTTTTTTATCTCAAGTATGGCATTCTATCACTTGAATCCTATCTCTACTTATGGCTTTTGTTGTTGTTGTTAAATGGAGCTAAAAGTTTCATAGACTTTCCTGCCAGGGCAGGCTTCAAATCATGATCCTCAGATCTCAGCCTCCTGAGAAGCTAAGATTACAAGCACAAGCCACCAGTACCTCCCACAATGAATCCTTTTCCTGTAAGGTTTGGGCACATTTCCCTAGAACAACATTGTCTCCTAGTCTCCCTCTTACAATCCCATCAACCAACAGTAAAATTTATCATAAGGAGAAGAGAAACTAGGGCAGTTACTGGAATTGCTGCCTCCAAAATGCACAGTAAAACCTCTGCTAAGGCTCTTAGCCCAAGAGAAAACCAATGCAGATGTCTAAAACAAGTAAGGCTCAGAAAGGTAAATAACCTTCCTTCACAAGTTCACAGGGTTGGTGAGTGGGAGGACTGTGATTTAAACCAACTCAGCCCAACGCCAAATCTGATGCCCTTTTACTGCGGCGCGGCTCAGTGTCC